TTCAAGTCATGCAATAGAACCCTAGTTTATACTATGGCGTGATCTGTGGGTGATTGCACAATTTTGTGGCCCACACGTTTAAAGCTGATGGTTGGGCATATTCATAATTAAAACAAATGATAGTAATAATACTCGCTTTGAGACTTTAAGCTTCTTTAGTGTTGCTTTATCTGGATTTTGTATTGCTTGCTTGCGTATTGCATGCTTGTGTATGTGATGTTCGAAAGCACTGTTTGTTTAGTATGAATAAAGTAACTTAGTGTCTTGAAACCTTTTGCTTCCCCTTTGAACCTCCTTATTCTGTCCCAAAAAAAGAATTATATTCCGCATTGCTAAGATAGGAACTCTTCAGCCCCATAAGCTACCGTAACTACCCTTAGAGTTTGGTAGTGCTTGAAAGGTTAACGCATTATAGTAAGCATTGTAACCAAGGACACATCATCAAACTTAATAATTGAATACCCAAATGGACAGTGTATGGGGACTTCTGTGTGAGGAATATGGACTGTTGTTTTAGGGGAGGGAGCAACATTGTCATTGTGCTAGGTTTGATCAAATCAGATCTAGGAGCCAAAATCTAGACCCAAATAGCCCCAGTAGCTTTTCAGTGGGGGGTAGGTCAGAAATGATGTTACCACCTTTTGTGATAAAGTTGCTTTCTTGATTTCAGTATTTTTTGTCGTGGACTGTTTTCATCAGCGAACTATTTGTACATATGTACACAAAAATATCCTTTAATCTTTTTCAAAATCTAATGCTTGTTCGTCAAGGAATGTGTTCCACGATAGAAAGCTCCGTAGAGAAGACCTAGTGATAACAATGGTAGAAAGTATGACAAGACATGGGTGATGTACCATGGCTGAAGCAATTTATCCATTTTCAGTATGCACTTCAAGGTTGATAAAAAGTTTATTGGTTTTTCACTGTCATAGTTTTATTCTCTGGTAACTGATTTTTGCATATTTCATTATCATAGATTCATTCTCTTGATTTTTGCGCCCTTTGTAGGGAAATATGAGAAGTGCTGGTTTTACAATCGAAGAAAGACAATCATTTGAGACAAATTTTTTAAATAAAGGTTTTGTGGATACCTTTAGGAAGCAGCATCCTGGTGTTGTTGGCTATACGTACTGGGGTTACAGGCATGGTGCGCGTAAAACAAACAAAGGTATTTCAATATCTGCAATTTCTGAACGATATTTTCTATTTTGTTTTGCAGGATGAAATTTTGATGTTTGCGATAAAATTTCTGATAGGAAGGTTTTTTTATGTGGACTCATACTGAGCTATTGCGTACTTTTTTCTGGTTCCCGCACACATAAGAAGTTACTTAGATAGCTTGAATGTTGATGATAGCATTTTTTTGCTAAAATTAATAAAATTTTCATTAATTGGATGGAATTATGGAATGTTAGGGCCTGTTTGGTTTGCGTTTCAAAAAACACTATCCGAAAATAGTTATTTGAGAAGAATTTTAAGAAAGTGGTTTTGATATTTTTTGAGATAAAAAACTTGTTTGGTTAGATGATTTCAAAAACAAATTTACAATATAGAAAATAGTAAAACTTGTTTGAACAGTAAATATATAAACATAAAATAAAAAAATATAAAAAAGTTATTTTTATATTGACAATTTCATATATATATATATATATATATCCATATCTGAATATTCAAAATTATTCTCCTTATTTTCAAAATTTTCAAAGAAAACTCTAAAAAAGCTACACTTGTTTTCTGTTTCTTTGACTCAAATCTCATTTTTTCCCAAAATTTAGAGAACAAAAATATTAAACAAACAGGTTTTTGGTGTTTTCGAAATTTTAAGAACAAAAAACAGTTTTCGAAAACTAAATCAAACATGGCCTTACATTTTGAAATTGGACAGAACATGGCTTCTCTGAGGACTCCGATTGGGCGGTAAATTGTTAGCTCTACGATGGATGGGGTGAAAAACTGAATTCCAGTATAAGTTTGATTTTTATGGCTTTGGGAGAGAATATGATGGTTGAGAAAAAATGGGGGCATTATAGTCTAGAATTTCTTCTTACCGGGGACTGGTGTTACTTGGGTTTATAGAGAAACAGAGGTTCTCAAGTAAGAACGCCATTCTTTTTCCTTAGTTTTTTGTGTCAAATGCATACCGAGAGTTTTGTGCGCGAAGGTAATAAGAAAAGAAAAAAGAAGGTGAATAAGTGTTCTTCATGTGAGCTTAAATGGGATGTGAACTTATATTAAACATCCATATCAATACTTCTCTTATGTTCTCTCTATCAGGTTTGAGAATTATTTTACCCAGTATTGGCTGAAATATCCTGCATATTTGAACTTGGTGGTTCTTAGAAGGTTGTCTGTTTTTTGTTGATTACTCCTCTTTCTTCAAGGCTCTGCAATAGATTTCAGCCTGTAGAATAAAGGAAAAAGTTAAGTCTGATGTGAATTCTGGAGGGGCCAGACACTAAATTATAATTTAAACAACATTTTGCCTAGCGACAGCCTCTGTTTGGGCCATTCGTCTTTCTTAAGACTTTGGGCTGGTGGTAGCCTGAAATATACAATCAGTCTGTCCTTTTTTATTACATTTGGAAGAGCAGTTAGTGCATAACTTATTGAATCCATCAATTATCGTCATCATTATCATTATCGTCTTCTGTTCTTCTGTTGATAAATACCTCCTTTTTCCTTGTGCACTGGTACATTTAGAGAAGTGTATTTTTTTTTGTTTCAAATGCTTTTGAGCTGCGAAAAAATTATAAAGTCAAAACAGGAAATTCACAGCTTTTTTAAGACTTACCCAGGCCTTAACTTTGTCGACGCCTTCTTCTAGCATTCTCTACCCTACACTAGATATTATTTCAACCAACTGAAAAAAATTGAAAAAAAAAAATCTGTTTTCACCTATGCCTTTGATAATGACTGATGCCATTTGATATCTCTCTTTCATATTTTCTTTTTATGAAATTGCAACAGGATGGCGGCTGGACTACTTCCTTGTCTCGGAATCCATAGCAGACAAGGTTCACGACTCGTATATTCTTCCAGATGTTACTGGTAGTGATCATTGCCCTGTTGGTCTCATTCTCAAGCTCTAGGTTCTCCAGCATTGCCAGAGCTCACTCCTAGGGCATCCATTTGATTAGTTTTGGGTGATGGGCATAAAACAAAGGATGAAGGGAATTTTTGATGGTGGTATTTACGAAATTCTGAAGAAAGTAGATTACCTAAACTCCGTTTTGTTGGCGTGCACATGCATGTGGAAGCCTCGACTTCTTTTTGGTATGAATTTCGGTTTCTTCACATTAATCTCGTATGATTATTGGACATTTTAGATCAAGAAAATATCAAAGGAACTGTTTGAGTAGGTGGAAATTTAGATGCAATTTCAAATTAGAAGCTATGTCCTGGTCTCATAGTTGTGTCAATCGGGAAGTGCTGACTGGCAGTTTCATACTTTTGTCGAACCTTTTGTGTATAATGCTACCCCATTTTCATTCGCGTAGTTGTGTGTGTGCCTGTGTGTTTGTGTGCGTACGCGAGGTGACAAACACATGAACTTGTGTGCTCTCATGATACAGCTTGTTTTTATATACGGAAACCTATGTTTTCAGGCTGCTTGTGCAAATCTAATTTGTTAGCAGTGTTGTTCTTTAAATGATTGGCTCTTGTGCTCCGAGAACTTGGATTAAGATAGGCTGTTTGCAGGGCTCCTATGTCAGATACCCAAAGCTGAAAATTTACTTTGGTATAAATTTTGGCATTTCTAGATTATCAATTGCATCATAAACATAGAGTTTATGAAAGTGAAGTTCAAGCCAAAAAGACGATCCAGTGCACGAGACGCCCGGGTCTTGGAAGAGGCTTGATATGGCTTTGTGAATATACTTGCAACTCTGGTCATAAAAGTAAGAGATTGGGTCGACGGTATGCATGTTAAACATACATGAATTGAGATTCTTTCTAATATATTTCTATTAAATTTCAATTAAATCATTTATCGTTTATTTAAAGTGGGATTCACCACGTATAAGTGGATGAATGAAAACAAGAAGACACATGGATGTACACAATTAATTTTGGTAGGTTTGATCAGAATGATGTGTTATCACCATTACATTGATATTTTTATCAAAAAACAGTGGGTTTTCAACAAAGAGCTCTATGAAAAATACACCAAGTACCCCTTTTGTAGTTTTCTTGAATGCACCATCACAACATCACATTCCTTGGATTGACACAGTTATTCATTCTCATGCATGACGGAAATTATAAGAAGATTCCAATATATATATATATATATATTTTTTTTTTTTTTGGGGGGGGGGGGGGGTCATAAGAAATTTTAAGCATGCGTGTTGGAATATTTGAGTGTTTAAAATAGAGCAAATTATGCATCAAGCCCTTTTATTAAAATTATTGTCTTGATCTCACTTCAGTCCACCTACTATTCGTTTGTTGATATTATTTCCTCAATTATTCGAATTAGCTTTACATTGTTTCAAAATCAATTGGGTTGCTATAATTGGGACAAAAATTGATTAACCATAGTTCGAGTTTCAATGTGAGAAACATTGCAGGTGAAGAGGCAATATGGAATATGAGACATAGTTGAAAAGGATCAAAATACAATTTTGTCTTAAAATAAACATCTTAGTTGTAGGATGATAAAGTTTTTTTATTTTTTTTTCTTGGGGGGAGGGGAGCGGAAATGGGAGGAGGACTTGATCTCTTGATCTTAAGAAAACAAAATCTTTATAAGATAAAGAGTATCATTGAATCAAAGACCCATTGGTTGTAGGATGATAAAGTATAGTTTGCATATGGTCTCGATCTCACTTCACCCTTTTCATTATTATTATTCTCATATTATTATATCAACTAGTTGGCTCAATTAACATTGTCCTAAAATCAAATTTCAGTTATGTTTTGAACGTAAAAAAATGCCCACGCTTCATTAAATTTGGGGATAAATTCATATAAAACTACATAGTTCGAGAGACAAAATGATAGAACTCTTCATGCCAATTTGTAATTAAGATATGTAATTGGCGTAATGTGAAATCATTAGGCATAATTAGAGACGGAATGTAATAAGCATGACAATTAATGAGATAATATCCGACATGAGAATAGTTGAAAGGGTGGAAAATGTAATTTTTCCAAACTTATATTGAATTTGAGAACTACTATCTGATGAGTTTATGCAATTTGAACTAGGGGGCACTCAACTTCACACGAGTCTTGGTAGTTGTCATCTAGATCTTTAGAGCATAAAAAAATAATAAGTTGGTGGGTCAAACTGTAATTTGATTACTTTAGATTATTAATTAAAGTCCAGAATGACAGAAAATAGAACCTCAGGCAAATGAACTTGGTAGGAAGACATAATCTAAAATGATTTCTCTCTTACATTGATTTACTTCATCTTCAAAATGCTTTACAAAATTTTCAAAATAAACCCATAAAACATAAAGCTACAAAGCTTCTCAAAAAAGAAAAAACTAATCATAAAAGGAAACTTATTAAACAGTAAGTAATAAAGTGAGAAATTAATAGTTGGTCTAATGATCACTATCTCGTTATTGGACTTGAATTTGAATTTTTGCATCCCCTTCCCGTAAAGGGAAAACAGTAGAAGAGCTTACTGAGGCTCATTTTGATTTTGTTTACCAATAAGAGTCAAGGCCATTGATGAAGAAGGAAAAGTTTTGAGATTCTTTTTATTGATGTCACGACAAACCAAGTTGCTGATTGTTTGGAATCATTGATATCATTTTTTTTAGGGTCTTCACCGGAAGAACCTTCCGGCCGGTGGTGTCCCCGTTGATCGAACGTTGTGGAGGGAAGTAGAAATCGGTGGGGAAGAAATTGTATTGAAGGCCTGCCATGGAAGCTTCAAAAATATTGATGGTGTGAATATTTTCACAAGTTATTTGACATCACAAATTAATAGAGTTAGAGACATAAAAAAAGTCAAAGAGTTTGAACCTTTTGATTGCCTTGTTTTCGGACTTGATTCCAAAGAATATTCGGGCTTTTGTCTTCTTGCTTCATGACGTAAAAAATGGAGAGCTTCATGCTTGATATAACCATTAGGTTAATTTAGTTTAAGGGTCGTACGCTTGAGAAAAAAATCAATACAACGGTGATATAATATCAACGTATCACCAATGATAATGTGGTATTAATAACTAATAATAAAATATTAAGTGGGTAAAATAAATTCCACTTAGATAGTTATCGACTTATATTAAAAAGGAGTGAGTAATTATTTATTTACATGAAATATTGGTTGTTAATTTTTGTGATGTCCATTTGTTTATTTGTTTGGATGGAACTATTCTTAACCCACAAGTATCCATTCCCCCCATTTAATTTATTACTAGAGGTAACCTATGTTTAAAGGTATGGTATAACATCAACCAACTGATTAATTTGAAAAAAATGAGAAGTCAAGATTCTAGAGAGAGAAAAAGAAGAGCGAGGAGAGGAATATAAAATTTAATATGAATTATTTTGAGAGAGATGTTTGTGGCCGTTGAATGAGTTTATTTGAGACCGTTAGATGAACTTATTGAAATCTTCTCTGTTTCATATTATAAAATTAGTAATTGTCCGCGCCTGAAGGTACTTTATTACTTGTAAAAAATTATAAATATTTGTTCATAAATGAAACAATGTCTAATATAATTTGAACAATACAACAATCAAATTGATATTGTTCAATCTATATGCAGAATATATATAATCAAATTTTTATATAACGAAAGTCACGTTATAATTACTGTAACATATTATTAATTCAAAAATATAATTATTATTGATCAAACATTTATGATTTTAATATTTTTAATAAACTTTATCTCAAATATGAAAAAATTATAACTATTTGTCTTTCTGCAGGTTTTTACATAATGTTTATAACATTATCTCTGCACTATTTTTCCAATGTGAGTTTGTGTAACTTTTGTGAGAAAAACATCCAAAAGTTTCACGTTAATTCTACTAAATGTAAAAAATTTTGTTAAGAAATTAAACTCAGTTTCTATTTTAGTCCATCTTAAATATTTGTAAAATTCAATTGAATTTAAGTTTAAGAATTTGTACTTTAACTGACAGTTCAACCAAATTCGAGTATTAATCATAATTACGTCAAATTGAGAAATGAATTTAAGTTCGATTTAGTTAATATTTTTATCTTAAACCTACAAACTAATTCTTATCTATTTCCCATTCACAGTGAAACCATAATTTTTTTAAATTTAATTATTTTTATTATTTTTACAATTAATTTTAATTTGACTTCAACTTTGAATATTTGCAAAATTCAAGTAAAGTTAAGTTTAAACAAAAATATGTACTTTATACTCGACAATAAAATTCAGCTCAATTCGAATGATAATCATAATCACTTCAAACCGATAATCAAGTAAAATGAAATGATTCTTGTAAATTTTGAGCCGAAAAATAATTTGGAGTAGTTTTGATCATTTGATCAATAACCTTAAAACAATCTGACCCATAAAAAATTCAAGACAAACAATGATAGCTCCATTAATATAAAGATATATCACACATTATATATATATATATATATATATATATATAATTCGTTTATTATATTATTCGAATATTATAGTATTTTTATTTTAATACAAAATATGAAATATATTTTAGCCATTCAACTTGTTTTGATGCAAGGAATCTGTATTTAAGGTTCATTTATTTATTTGACAATTTTAAAAACAATCCGTAATTATGTAGAATTATAATTAACGACCTAATTAATGTGTAGTATGAGATAGAGATGAGAGAGAGAGTTAAAATAGATATCAAAGTTTTAGAATTATGGAATAAATAAAAGTCTTGTTCAAAAAATTGGGAGAGGGAAGTTAGCATTAGGACCGTCGGATCAATAATCGTCGAGCGATCTGAGCTACAACGTAAGTAAGAAGTGATGGAATTAGAGGGGGATAATTTAATGTGAATGGTTTTGAGAGGGATATTGATGGCTGCTAGATGAGTCTATTTGAGATTTTCAAATGAGTTTATTGAAGTATGTAATATTTTATATTATAAATTATATATATTGATATGGATAAATAAATAGATGTAGGATGACATATGTTAATAAACTTATGTTTTGTTAGCGGCAATCCTTGTTATTGTATTATTATTTTGTTAATTTTAAATTACGCGCTTGAACTACTTATTATATAGATTGGATATATATATAGGACAACATATGTTTAATGAACTTATATTTTATTAGAGATAAACCTTATTATTAGAGTTTTAATAGATTTTAGAGGGGATGAGGAGAGATAAAAGGAATGCAACAGAGTCTTGTAAGAATGTAGATTAATTAGGATCGTCGAATAATAAACCTAAAAATGATCTAATTCGCAAAAAACTCAAGACAAATCAATCTAACTATTTTATTATATAGATATAGAGAAAGTGAAGAGATGAGACGGTGTATTTAAAACGTCTAAGAGATATGAGAGAGAGAGTTATATGAGAGATAGGAGTATTAGAGTTAAGTTCAATTATGACCGTCAGATCAGTATTTATGAAATAATCTGAACCATCTTTTATGTTGAGATTACGTTGTT